TTCCTTTTAATGGCTGAATATGATTCCGTTGTATGGATAGACCACATGCTGTTTACCCATTCATCAAGTGACGGACATTTGGGTTGTTTCCACTTTTTGGCTGTTATGAATAATGCTGCTTGTGAAGATTCATGTACAAGTTTTTGTGTGGACGTGTGTTTTCATTTCTCTCGAATCTATAACTAGGAGTGGGATTTGGGGTCATTTAAAGACTATGTTTAACTTTTTGAATAATTGTCAATCTGCTTTTGAAAGGGGTTGTGCCTTGTTACATTCCCACCAACAGTGTATAAAGGTTACAGTTTCTCTATGTCCTCACCAACACTTGTTATTCTTCGACTCTTTGATCACAGCTGTCCTCCTGGGCACAAGTGACATCTCATTGTGGATTTGATATGCATTTCTCTGATTATCAATCATGTTGAGCATCTTTTCATGTGCTTATCAGCCATTTATATATCATCTTTGGAGAAATGTCTATTCAGAGACTTTGCCCATTTTTAAGTTGGGTTATCTTTCTTTTATTATTGAATTGCAATCGGTTTTTTAAATATTTTCTAGATACAATTCCCTTATCAAATATATAATTTGCAAATATTAAATTCCATCCATTCTGTTGGTTCTCTACTTTCTTCACGGGGTCCTTTGTAGCACAGTTTTACATTTTGATGGAGTCAAATTTATCTATTTTTTTTCTTTTGTTACTTGTGTTTTGGAGTCACGTCTAGGAAGGCTTTACCATACCCGAAGTCGTGACGATTTATGTCTGCACTTTCTTCTAAGAATTTCATAGTTTTAGCTTTTACAGTTAAGTCTATGATACATTTTCTAAAGCCTTTTTAATCTTTAAGTAATCTCTACACCCAACGTGGGGCTCAAACCTGCAACCCCAAGGTCAAAAGTGGCATGCTCCACCAACTGAGCCAGCCAGCCACCCCCTATGACACATTTTGAGTTAATTTTTGTGTATGGAATAGAAAGGGATTCAACTTTATTCTTTTGTAGGTGGGTATCCAACTGTTTCTGTCTTGAAAATATGGAAATAGTTCCATGCCAGTTGGTAAACAGTGCCACCCTGAGATCCCTGAGTTTCCCTCTTTTGCTCCGGCTCTTTTCTGGGACCTCCCAGACATTCCCATGACTCACAAACTGACCTGCCAATGCCTGGCACAACAGAAGGCCTCAGGACCCTGCCAGTTCTGATGCCAGTGAGGTCCCAGGTGTTAAATAGTTTCAATGTCACACCTACGTGTTGGTGTTATGACACGTCCTCAGGACTGGCGATACTAATATCGACACAGGGAGGCCCTATAACTTGCTGTTAATAATCCTGTAGTGTAGCTCCAGGGAACGTTGCTGGAGTGAAGAGAAATGCCAGTGTCCTGTAACAATCCCGCCAGTGAGGACCAGAACAAGAGCAGGTCCTGACCCAGAATCGGCTTAGCAGTTGCTTGAAAGCCTGTGAGCCAAAGGTCTCGGAGGCAGCAAGGTAAGAACATTCCATTGTGGTTTCCCCACAGGCAAACGTGTAGCCCGTCTTTTGCTCCCATCACAAATGTCTCATCTGAGGACCCGGGAGATTATCTGGGTGGGTTCCTCTAGGAGGGACTCTGTGATTCTCCCTTGGCAGAGTGAGATTGACCATCCACAACTTTGCAGGATGGAAGGGTCCTCTTTCTTGGACGGGTTATATAGTCAGACGGCTTCCTTAGAAGCTCCTAGTTGACAGACCAGTCTACCCCAGCTGTGGTGTCTCCTACTCCTTGGTCACAGGTTGCCACTGACAGAGAGGGACGCCGCCCACCCATCAGACCGGCTCTGTCTCTGCCCGCCTTCCACCGCCCTTCTGCGCAGCCCCTTTCTCCTGCAGTGTCTTTGTTCCACATTTCTGGATAATTAGATTTTTTGGCAACGGCCCTTCTGCGTGCTGCGGAGCTAGCAGTCGAGCCTATGGCCTTTTCCCAAGTACTATTTCCAGCCGGGCCATGCCATCTTGTTCTTCCGCTGTATTCCAGGACACAAAAGGTCAGGAGCCTTGCCGGGGGAACAGACCCCGGTGTGGAGACCTCCTGGCCTGGATGGTATGTGGATAATAAAGGAAATTAGGAAAATCAGCGAGAGCATGTGACAGTGCTCCCCAGCCTTGTCTGCCCTCACGAACAGTCCTGACTGCACCCTCAGGAGGTGTAGATCTAGGGTGCTCAGGTATGGCAGGGAGAGGACACAGGACAACTACAAATGGAATGACTGTCGCCTTCAAACCATATTCTCTTGCTGACTTTGCATAGAAAAGCTGAGGACAAGTCCCTATCACGTGGCAGAACTGAACAAAGGGCAGCTCTTACCGTCTTTTTTTTTTTTTTAATTTTTTTAACGTTTATTTTTGAGAGACAGAGTGACAGCGAGCGAGCAGGGGAGGGGCAGAGAGAGAGGGAGACACAGAATCCGAAGCAGGCTCCGGGCTCCGAGCTGCCAGCACAAAGCGCGACGCGGGGCTCGAACTCACGAACTGGGAGATCATGACCTGAGCTGAAGTCCGACGCTGAACCGACTCAGCCACCCAGGCGCCCCGCTCCTACCATATTTGATAATGATTATACTTTAGTGTTTGCTTTGGCACCACAGGGACGAAAATGTGGTGATTGCGCTTTATAATTAACTGTGTTTAAACTTGTTATATTTTGTAATTGTTAAAATATTTTTATAAAATCACATTTGCATTTAGACGGCTTAATGATTCTCATCTTATAAAATATTTGCACAAGATGTCCCTAACGACCGGAAGGGAAGTGGGGAAAGGCCTAACGGTATCACAGCAGTGCAAAGGAGCAAGGCTGTCGGTGACTATTTCCCGAGTGCTCCCTGATCCGAGGCCCTGGGATGTACCCAGCGCCAAGAGAATCCCCAGCCCGGAGGTGCGTCTTCCAGCTCAGGTTCAAGTATAAGAGGGGAAGAGAGGTAGAGGGATAAGGGAGGGAAAGGGGGATGCCAAGCCCTAAAGTTCTATCAACTTTAAGCAAAACATGGGTCCCCAGGAGGTCCCCCAGGCCAACGCCGTTCTCTGTCCTTTGTTGCCTTCCCAAGATGGTGGAACTCCCCAGGTTTCTTTCTTTTCTCTCTCTTTTATTTTATTTTATTTTTTTTTTTGAGAGAGAGAGAGAGAGAGAGAGAATCCCAAGCAGCTTCCCACTGGCAGTGCAGAACCCGACATGGGGACCAAACTCACCTGGGAGTTCAACAGCAGACATGTTAGATGTGACTTGATTGTCTGCCCTTTCTATGAAGGGAACACCTTCACTTTCAACTTCCTGTTCCTGCCACGCCCCCGGCCATTGTGATTGGCCCAGCAACAAACACATGACCGAGTTGAGCCAATCAGGGCTCTTCCTCGGGTTTTCACAACGGAACAAGCAGAACGTGCTTGTTTCATGCCACTGTGTTTTGGGGGTGACTTGTTATGTGGCAGTAGACCACGAACACAGACCTGCATGTGGACTCTCCCCTCTCTTCAGGAGACGCACCCGAGTTTAGTGGGGATCAGCGGGGAGGCACGCTGCAGGAAACCAGGTATTAACAAAACCCACGTTTTCTAGGTGCGTATAGCCCCGTGCTGTGAAGTATCTGGAAGGGCTTGTGGGCAGAGGCTGTGGCCGCGAGGAGCCCAGTGTCACTCCCAGACAACCTGGACCATGCTTAAAGATAGAAGACGGGGCAAAATATGTCTTCACTCCTGATAACTTCAGCTGCAGGTCAACCCCTGGCCTTGACCTCTCTCATTTCTTCCCATCCTCCTCCTTCCCCCCCCCCCCCCAACTCTCCTTCCCGCATCCTCCATCCTGCCCCTCCCACGGAGGTCCAAGTCCCAGAGAATGTTCGAGAACATTCCGTTCTGGAAGGGCCACATGCTTTACCAAAGAGCTTATGGACTGGCGCTTCTCACACGTCACTATGCACACCCATCACACACAGAATCCTCGGAAGATGCACATTCTGATTCAGTGGCTCTGGGAGGGGCCTGGAAGTCTGCACGTCTAACAAGCTCCCCTGTCGCTGCTACTGTAGAAAGTGCTCAGTAGAAAGTGCTGGAAGGAGGACTATCCTTTCTTTTGCTAATATGGATGGCCTCTTCCAGGAAAATGCCGGCTCAGAACTCTACAGAAAGCCCCTTTCCACCAGGACAGAAGGTGAGAAGGAATTGAACGAGTGGACAGAGATCCTCATCCTGTCCTGTACTTACTTAAAATTCTTGCGTGTTTCTTTTTATTTATTTCTTTTTAATTTTTTTTCATGTTTATTTATTTTTGACAGAGACTGAGACAGAGTGTGAGCGGGGGAGGGGCAGAGAGAGAGGGAGACATAGAATCCGAAGCGGGCTCCGGGCTCCGAGCGGCCGGCACAGAGCCCGACGCGGGGCTCGAACCCGCAAACCGCGAGGTCATGACCTGAGCTGAAGTCGGACGCTTAACTGACTGAGCCACCCAGGCGCCCCCCGGGTTTTTAACTTAAAGACAGCAGGTTGCAAGGGCCTCCCTGTGACACAGCCACTCACACACGCCCTCTCATTTCACTGGCTCCGTGGCAGGAACAGTGGGCCGCAGTGAGAGGGGGGCATACGGGGGCTACATAGGGTCTCGGCCCACCCAGGACGGGTTCAGGCCCAAGCGAATCAGGGGGGCACGTGGCACAGGAGCAAAGTGGTGTCACAGCTGAGGGACAGACTCCAGAGCTAACGAGCATCTTGATCAGAATGCTGGCTCTCCCTTGTTGAACGGCTGAATTGGGGTTTACCTAGCTAGAAAACGGGGACCCTCATACCTATTGACTGAGGTTGGTGGGATAATGAATACAAATAATATTTGTAAATTTATTAGGTAACTCACATGCACGAGGCAAATCCTTATGCATGGCACATTGTCCCAAGTGCAGATTAACTCATTTAATCCTCTCCACAGCCAGCAAGGGCAGTAAAATTATAATTACTCTTTCTGTTTTATGAGGGAGCAAAGCTCAGAGAGGGGCAGTCCGAAGCTCGGGGTCACCGTCGGGGAGCACTGGAGCCAGGCTTGGGTCCAAGGCAATTTGATGGCAGGGACCACCCGAAGGGGCACGGTCCCCCACATACAGGTACTTGAGGACTATCTGGGGGGGTGTCAGTGAATGAATGAATGATGTAAGATCCAGGGAAGCTGCTTTCTGTCTGTCTGTCTGTCTGTGTCTCACACACTCCCTCGCTCTCGCACATTTCAGTTATTTAAAAACCAAAAAAGCTTTCTGAAGAACTGACACGTTCACACGGTTCAAAGGGAGCAAAGGGACAGAGACTGAAAAATATTCCTGCTGTCCTTGACCCCCAGCTGCCCGGGTCTTTTCCTTGAGGCAACCACACCAGCCCCTTGTACATTCAGACAGGAGCATACCCTATGGAATGTTCTGCCTGGTACCAGAAGAGTCTCTTAAGCTGAACTTCTCTTTAAGCCTTAATTTCTTCACTGGGTCCCCCCGAGGTGGGGGGTTGTGAACATTAACTAAAATTCATGGAAAGTGGTTAGGGCAGTGAGGGGTCAGGCCTATCAATTAGTAAGCACTGGACTCCATTTCATTTGTTTAATTGTATTTTACTTATTTTTTAATTTTTAAAGTTTATTTACTTATTCTGAGAGAGAGAGAGAGAGAGAGAGAGAGAGAATCCCAAGCAGGCTCTGTGCTTTTGACGTGTTTAAGTTCCTGGGCTGGAACTCACGACCTATGAGATCATGACCGGAGCCCGTGTCAAACACTTAACTGACTGAGCCACCCAGGGGCACCATTTATATTATTTTTTGAAATAGGGTAAAGGAAATAGGAGGTGGCAAGGCCCCCACTCTGGCCGCTGAGGCCGACGCCCAGCTCTTGAAGGTGATGAGACTTCCCGTTGGTGTTTGTATACAGATAATGAGCCACTCGCCCCCAAAGACAAGACCGGAGGAGGGAGGGAGGAGCAAAGAAAAATATGGACAAAGAAAACTTCAAAGCCACTCGAAAAAATAGAAACCGAGGCTCCCACACACTGAGCAGGCCACATTCTCCAACGAAGGCCTCACGAACACGGAGGCCGACACCATCTGGCCTCAGACACTTTTCCTCAACACCCTTGCGTCAAGTCAAGCAAAGCGGGGCGACAGAAGAGGAATAAGTTGGGTTGGTTCACAGGGAGCCTCCAGATTCCGCGCTCCAGTGATAAATAATGTACAAAGCCCAGAAAACACAGCCCTGTTGGGTCTGGGCCTCTTACTCCTGAGGTGTGAGGAAAGGGGATCAGGGTGTCCATCCTGTTAAATTTGTGGAGGGATGCATTCCGGGGGCCCGGGGATGGGGGGAGCCCCAGGTGGCTGGGCCAGTCTGCTGGCCAACCAGGTGGCCTGCCAGGCTGCCCTGGGCCTCCCCACTCCGGGCCTCAGGCTGGCGAGACTGTCCCTGGCCCACAACGGGGGCATGGGAGACCTGTCTCTTGCTATCATTAATTCATGTTTCCCCGCCTGGCCATCAGAATCCCATTAAAACAAACACACACACACACACACACACACACACACGCGCGCACACACGCGCCCGCACACACATACACGCACACACACACATGCACACACACAACCCATAACGTTAAAATCAATAGTAAACATCATTTTAATCTACACACATTTTTATCACTGTTCAAAAGATGTTTTTCAAATTACCCCTGGAAACTCCCGCTATCTAAGAATTATCAGAAAAAAAAAGAGAGAGGAAAGAGAGAGAGAGAGAGAGCAGGAAAAGGAAAAAAAAAAAAAAGCCCACAAGAGGCAGGGAAGTGCTGCTTTGTCAGGGAGAAGAAAATAAAGAGAAATCAGCCCAGCTTCAAAGGGCGCATTTCCATAATTGCCCTGTAACTTTAGCAAAATAAATCTGCGCGGCTGAGAAAAGCCCAATCTCTCAGATGAGTGAACTCCAAAGGCCCCGGAGGGCTGTGGGCCCACTTGTTAGTGGCCCGGAGCAGTGAGAGATTGCGGAGCTCGCCAGGGGCACAAAAGCCATGAAATCATAGCCTTCCCGGCCTAGACGGGCCCCGGCCCCCCGAGTAAGACTTTACCCTGCCTTTGTCTCCTTCCTGCTCCCTGACACGGGACACACACCCACGCACACAGGCGCACACACAGGCACACACACGCACACAGGCACCCCGGGGTAAAATAAGCGAGTAAATAAATAGACGCGTTTAAGTGCAGGAAAGGCTGGCAGCAGTTAAGAGGTGGCAATAATTAGGAGGCGAAACCACAGGAGTTGGGCTTTCATCTGTGAGAACATTCCCGTAACCTGCTCCTGATATAAATATCCAGGGAGAAAGGCCCCAACTTTCCAGACACACATCCTCTTTGGAGATGACTCTGTCTCCCTCTCCCTCTCCCTCTCCCTCTCTCTCTCAATCTCTCTGTCCTGAGACGGCCCCACCTCCAGAGGCTCAGGGAGTTGAAACCCACTTTTCTTTTTCTCAGGCTGGCAAAGTTTCCTGTTGATGCTTTCTCATCCCCATTGCCCCCTTCCGGGGCCAAAAGTTTTTCAAGAGCAGACAAGCGGCCCCACTTAGCCTCCTTCTTTAACGTGTCTCTCCACAGAGCTGTGGTTTCTGGGAGAAAACACCTGCTGTAGTTGCCCTCAGACACCTCTCCCCTCCCTCGGGTTCTAGGTTTCTCAACGGCGGCGTTGTTGACATCTTGGGCCCCATCACTCTCTGTTGACGGGGCTGGCCTGTGCCTTGTGGGACAGTATCCTTGGTGTGAGCGGCATCCCTGGTCTCCACCCAAGAGATGCCAATAGCACCCGTATCCAGGCATGACAATTGGAAAATGTCTCCACACGTTGCCTTATGTCCTGGGAGCGTGGGGACCACCCAGTGGAGAACCACTGCTCTATCTTAGGACCTCTTCCCCATCTTGCCCTGGGTACTCACCCCTTCTGCCATCAGGGAGAGATGCCGCGGGGCGGGGGGCGGGGCGGGGCGTGGTTCCCCATGCAAACAATCAGGATGGTCTTTGGAGGGGCTGGAGCCTCCATTCCGAGGGAAGCAGGTGCATTAAAGCTAGGCTGGCCATGCAAGAGACGGAGACTTTCAATGTGGTCACGTTGGCTGGCTGGATCCGAAGACAGTGGCAAATCAGGATCTGGAGACAGTAGCTGGAGAGGTTATGGGGCCCCTCCATTTACGCCTCGTACTAGAGACCTTTGGCTTGGAACAAATTCGTCTAATCCGATCCCCTCTATGTTGCAGACGGTGAAGTTGGAGGCCCGAGTCGGGATGGCACTTTCCTCCACTCGAGTCAGAGTTATCTGTGGCCACAGACACAATTGGTACACACCTGCCATTGTCTTTTGTCATTTGGTAGAGGCAGAGGGTACGTGCAACCGGGAGTTACAGGACGCAGAGAACATTTCTCGAAGGATACAAATAATGAGGCCCCATGCTGGAGTTCCTGATGGAAAGTCCCAACAAATCAGGGAAGGCGTCTGGCATCCAATTTCTATCCAAGCCTTTGATCCCTGCTGCTGAACCTTCCACAACTCAGGCCTGAGACAGGGGACCCTCCAGGTGGCCTGGAGACCACCAGCCCTCTCCTCAGACAGGTGAGCGGCCGAAGCACCCTTTCCCCTCCGGGAAGCCTCTGCTGCACTCACTTTTCCATATTGCCCTCTGCCTGGACCCGGCTTCCTCCTCCCTGTATTCTGGTGAAAATAAATTCAATCGGAAACCGCGAATGGGCCATCACTTAGGGAGATAATTTTATTCTCCTCTGGCTCGCTGGCCCGGTGATGCACCCCCACCTCTGGCTGCATGCAGATAATGAGGGACGTGGTGACATACACTCCTTCCTCTGACCTAATTGATGATCCCCACACACCTTGGCGTGCTTTGCATAACCAGCCACGACAGCCGGCACCCCTTCCAGGCGGAGTGATTGACATATTTTATTTCTAATTGAAGCTTAATCAGGACCCAGGGTAAGATTCCCATGTATTCTCGCTCTCTTCTCTCTCTGGCTTCCTTCTCTCTCTGTGTGTGTGTCTCTCTCTCTCTGGGAGCCCTGCCTTTCCGGCTTCCTTTCCCCTTTTAAAATTTGAGGGCCACACAATAAAGGATGGATGGAGGCAGTGTCTGGGGTCCCTGAAAAGGGGGAGAGGGAGGGGACGAGGGGACGGTTCAGGGAGGAGGACCCGGAACCAGCTCCCTGGTGAAGGTGGAGGGGAGCGGCCTCCTCTCCCCTTTTTTAGGTTTCTTTGTTTGGACGGCGTTACCTTTTGGGGGTCACTTTGGGGCCATTTGAAGGGCCGTGTGTTCCGTGCAACCGAGAGGCTACAAATACACGGGAGTGGCCACTCCCCACTCCCAGGTTTTCCCGGCTCTCCTCAGCACGTCCACACACTGCCCCTTCAGGGGGGCGGGACTGGTCTCATCCAAGGACCATTATCCCCGGAATGAGCCGGGCTGAAGAGGTGAGCAGGCCGTGGGGTTTTCACGGCAGAGCCACCGAGGACGGGGCGGGTCCGACCTCCGCAAGCTCGGCTTGGCCTCTCCACACCCCTCTCCTTGTGACCAGATGCATTTTCTCCTCCCTGGGCTGACGTTCCGTGTGGAAAGGCTGCCAGACTTCTGCCGTCATCCCTCTCCCCGATCACCCCTGCCTGGGGAGTTTCCTTTCTCCCTGGGTTGAGCTGGGTCCTGAGATGCCTGGAGGCAGACGGCTGATGGGAGCTGGTGAGCTGAATACCGTCCAGAGTCGAAGAGAGGGGACTGAGATTCTAGAACAGAACGTTAGTGATACCGAAGCTATGTTACCCTCACTACCACATGCCAGGCCTGGACAGCCTCTGTCTCTCGTGGGCACATCCACCTGGCGGGGTAGGCATGATTATTCCCATTGCACAGATGAGGAAATACAGCACAGCGAAGTTAATTATCTGCTCAGAGATTCATGGGACGTAGACTGGGGAACTAGGTCTATGCGACAGAGAAGCTTGTGAGGCCATAGCTGACAGGCTGTCGGGCGTGCTGTCCCCCGAAAGACACTCATGCTGATTAGCGGAGGCCTCTGCCTGCCTCCAAGGCCCTGGCCTCTGAGGTTCAAGGCCCACCCAGGCAGTTGAAGCCTGTTCCATGGGGCCAGGGCCTGAGCTGAACCACAGCCTGTATCTAAGTCCTGGGAAGGAGTCTGGACCTGTAAACACCATTAATAAAGAGCTGGGAGAGGAGGGAGCCGGAGAAACATCTCCCACCTCTGGGGAAGGGGCCGGAGGGGGAGTCCCAGCCTCAGAATGTCTTTGCCCAGATGTCAGCCTCTGCTTCACCAGGCCTCTGTGAAAGGCCACGGGCTAACACACTGGCCACCAACAGACCCACTGGCCCCTGGAGGGCCCACCATACCCCGCCTATCCAGCCTCAGTGGGGTTTCCCGGGGGGTGCCCGCCGGCAGCTGTCCCCACTCCCCCCCCAGCCTGGATGGGTCCCCATGTGGACCAGGCTCCTGCGGAACGTGGAGCTGTACAATACATACAATGCCGTGCTTTGTTCTGTGGCTTCAGGCGTTCGAGCCCTGCCCAAACCTCCCAGGGGAGCCACGAGACTGTCACAGGCTCCACACAGGACGAAACTTACTAACCACAGAATTTACTAACTAAATTGACTAACCAAAGAGGAGGAAAATTAAAAAAAAAAAAAAAAAAAAAAAGGTACCCTCCACTTCGTGCCCAAGGCGGCACTCGTCCAGTGCTCTCTACAACTTGTTCAAATCAAAGTTGGGCAAGGCTGTCGGACTGAAAGAGAAAACAAGAGGGCGAGGACGGGGCGGCCAGCGGGCGGCCAGGCCAGGCCTGGCTGGAGAGGCCGCGGAGGCAGGCGCTGAGGGGCCCTTTTGTCCTGTAGAGGGAGCTCCAGCCCCAAATTTCCCGGCTCCCTCCCCCCACCCCCGGCCCGCCCACCCCCTGACAGGCCCCAAGCCGGAATCCTGGCTGGATACGTACAGAGGCCCCAACACCCCCGCACCCCCCACCAGCACCCTAGAAAGCTATCCTTCCAGGGCACTTGGGGGGAAAACCCGCTGGGGTGCCAAGATGCACAGAGGCCACCGGGACTCAGGTCCCCCCACTCTCAATTCGGGCTGGGCACGTCACTAAGAGGAAATGCTGTGCATCCCCGGGTCGCTGCTCCTCCATACGCAACCCCTCTTCACCGCCACCCCACACCCTCGCATCTGTAAGGAGGAGTCTGGGGGTGCAGTGAGGTTGGAAAGGGCTTGAACTGAACTTGCACATGCCCTGACATAAGACTCAGAGAACCTCGATTGTGCCTATCTAAGAATGGGGGCGCGGGACTGATGAGAACCCCCCAACCTAACCTTTCTGCTTCCAGACCCTTCTCTGGGTGTTTCTGCCATGCCATCCGAGCAGGCCCCAAACCCCAGGGTTGATCCAGTGGACCGACCGGGTGGGCCCAACTCCCCAGGCTCCTCGGAGGGCATCTTCTCCGGTGTCCCCCCAGCTGTCTCCTCTGCCCTTTCCCTGGGGCACCCCACCTACTTCTCCAACTGCCTCACCTCCAGCGGTGCCCCCAGCCCCGCCACCTCTGTGTCTCCTTGGCTTCTGCACTCTTGTGATCACACGGTCCTGGGTCCTGACTGTGGTTCTTTTCCCACTGATTCCGGCGACTCTTCAAACATGGGGGGGGGGGGGCGGGCAGCGGATAAAACAAAACAAAACAAAA